ATATACATATATATATACACACATATACATATACATATATATATACACACACACGGTATATATATATATATGTATATGTGTATATATATATATATATATATATATGAACTTTGGTGGCTATTGTGTATATATAGATAAACAATTAACTAATAATAAAATAAAGTACCGTTTTGGATGATAATTAACCATTAATGAATTTTTAGAATAACTTGTTAAAAGCTTTAAAAGCTGATGACATCACTATTTGGTCCAAACCTTTAATATGTTTTAATACATAAAATACTCTGATTTGAATAATGATCTGTGTCTGATGAGCTTTCCTCCTCAGACACAGTATTAATGTATTAATGTATTAATGTTAAAGAAGTCTCTTATTTCACTGTAAAGTTCATTCTCACTGTTTTCACATCAAACCTAAATATTCATACCGGCCTGTGATTGGCTCTAAACTATCTGTGATGTCATAAACTCTGCAGGTAGGTCCAGGTGTTGAAGTGAGATGTTTAAGGTCCTTCAGCACGATGAGCCAAATAAGTACAGTAACATTTGGAAGTTTGTGATTTATTTTGAAATGTTTCTTTTTTGTTGTTGTGGTTGCTTCTTTTACTTTGAAAGGATTTGAGGACATAACTCCAGTTTATTTAAAATGATGAAGTTATTCTGTTTTTATTCACGTTGGGACTCAAACCACCAACATGTTCGTTAATCTTCCTCCTGAAGACGTAACTCTTTAAAAACCATTGTTTTTCCTAAATCATACAAGAAAGTAGTGCATCTGTTGGGACTATTTCCAGCGGCGGAGTAATCCACATCTGGTGCTTTCGTGCGTATTTGTGTGTGTGATTGAGTCAGAATAAAGGACAGAGTGAAGATGGTGATTGATGTGTTTTAATGGAGCTCTCTGAGACATCAGGCTGAGATAAGAGAAGAGACGATTAAAAACGCTCTCAATAAACTGATCGTGGTATATTTCTATTATCGGAATAATTGGTGAATATCTTCACAGCTTCTATTTTGTAAGAGAAGTGAAAAAATAGATCGTAGTTTCAAAATAAAAACAGGAAATATTTAAGACAGAACATACATCTTTTTCATGTAAACTGTACACATGCAGGGGGACCTCATGAGTTATGATAACTTCATTAAAAACTGTTGTTTGTTCACAAAAGAAAGGTTACGTCCTATCTGTGACGTGTCTTTATAGAATATAAGGTAAATGTTTTAGCTCCATTTGAAGAGTTTTCAAAAAGATTCAGATGATCATTGGGATAATATTGTGAATATTGTGTGTTTTGTGCAGGACAATGGTGAAATGAATTGTTGATATCGTCCCATATAGCTGTGACACACAGAATACTTGTTAGTGGTTATATTTTACTGTTGGTTTGAGTGTGAGTTTGCTCTTGTCGTCCACTGGGGGGCGCTGTTACACTGAGGAACGATCATAAAGAAATAATATGTCGCTCCTGATTCTGAACTGTTTAATCACTTCAGGTGTCGGCGGTGAATCTGATGAGCACTAGGACCCAGAGCGGAGCAGCTGTCAGAGCCCGTGCAGTAAATATAGCAGCAGTGTGTTGGATCAGGACCAGTTGGGGGGGTCACAAGGAGACCTGGAGAGACCGGATCAACCAGAACCGTCTGCAAGGACAGAACAGGAAAGACTTTCCTCTCAGAAAAACAACCCAGATCACTCTGAAGAGAGCAGGAACCTGAAGACCAGCTGACGGCTGCATGTGAGTCAGTCTGTCCTTGTGTGAGGCGTTCACTGACTGTAGGTTGTTGTGACGCTGTCTGTGTTTGGTGGAATCTGAGGGTGTTTGTCAGTGATGTCTGTGTTCTGTACTTGTGTTGCGTTGTTTACGTCTTACTTAGTTTACGTATTTGTTTTTAGCTCAATCGTGATGTTTTTTTTTACAAAAACCCTGCCGTGCGTCTCTTCTTGGTGACCAGGTGTCAGTGTTCCCTGTGACCATAATTACCTGAGTAAGGAAGCCCGCGAGGCTCAGATCTACCGGTGATGCTGCAGCTGTGCCAAGTCACCAGCGCTCTGTTCATCAGCAACGCCCGCTCGGCCTGCAGCGACGAGCTCCTCCAGCAGGAGGCGGTGACGCTCTGCATCAACGTGTCCAAGCAGCAGCCGTTCTCCGCCGCCGCCGTCGCCAAGCTGCGCGTGCCCGTCTACGACGACCCCAACGAGGACCTGTACGCCCACTTCGACCGCGTCGCCGACGCCATCCAGAAGGAGGTGAACCGCGGGGGGCGTGGCCTCGTGTACTGCAAGAACGGACGCAGCCGCTCGGCCACCGTGTGCGTCGCCTACCTGATGAAATACCGCGGGATGACGCTGAGCGACGCTCTGCAGGTGGGCGAGGAGACGACGTTTTGACGTCATTGTAATTCATAAATTTGTTTTAAAGTTTTAAAGTTTTAAAAAAGCAGAGTCTGTGATTCTAATCTAAGACACATTCAGGATTTAACTTGTTTAATAATTAATTTACAGAACAAGTTTATGGACTAAAAATCCCGGAAGAGAAAAGATACGATCGATCGATCGATTATAGAACTATACAGATGTTTCATCTAATGCAGCAGATGGCATAAGAGTTCTTCCTGTGCAGACAGGAAGTGGAAAGACCAAATAAAAGACGAGTGTGAACATTATTTTCTGATTAACGGCTGCTGGCTGCTAGTTAAATGTTCCGCTTTGTTTCAGCAACCAAGTCAGAGAAGATGAAACAAATATGATGATAATACAGTCGTATAGATACACAAACGAGGAGGAACGGTCCCCGTGAGGATGTCTCTGTCCTCTCAGCTGCTGCTTCAGAGGTCACAAATATCACCGGCTGTGGTTTAAACTGCAGCAGAACGCTGAGTGTGCAGAAACTGAAGCTCAGGGTTTCTGTTACCAAGGTGCCCTCGAGCAGCGGACAGATGAGCTGACTGCATTCATGCTCACTCTCATCGCACCGGAGAGATTTATTTTATAATCTGGCTTTATGGTCTGTGTGACTCTAAATGGACCATAATGTACTAAATGAACATCATGCTGTATTGAAGAAGACTTGAAACTAGAGATTGAGACCATAAACTCATGTTTACAATGTTTACTGAGGTAATAAATCAAGAGAGAAGTAGAGTCATTTTCTCATAGACTTCTATACAACCAGAGGAGTCGCCCCCTGGTGGACACTAGAGAGAATGCAGCTTTAACACATGAAGCTTTGTCTCCTGGTCTTGATGCACTGACCAAGTATTCAGAGTACAAATACTTACATCTGAGTACTTGCCTACACCAAGTACCGATACAAGTACTTAATAAAACCATTGCAGTTCTAACGATTTGCAGATGGGATGTTAATAATTACGTGTTTGACTATCAGTTAAAATAAATATGTTGAACATCTGCAAGCTTGAATATGTAGATGTACACTATTATTTAAAGCTACTAATCTTTGTACTGTGTAATGTAGATTTATGGACATTTTGATCTACTTTTTAAAATTTTTAAACGAAACAATTGATAACAAAACAAAGGAGATACATATAAATAAATATAATAAATATACATAAATATAATAACTATTTAATCATATTTCTGATGTATTATGGAGTATAACAACATTCATTAAATAGACTTTTAATAATAATTGTTGTTTATTTTCCTCCAGAAAGTGAAGACGGCTCGTCACGAGATCGATCCGAACCCCGGCTTCATGTCTCAGCTGAAGAGATACGAGCAGGAGCTGAAGAAGAGACGAGGACGGAGGGACAGACAGGCTGAGAGACAGACAGACAAAGAGACTGACTGAGAGACTGAGAGACAGACAGACAAAGAGACAGACAGACTGAGAGACTGAGAGACAGACTGAGAGACTGAGAGACAGACTGAGAGACTGAGAGACAGACAGACTGAGAGACAGACAGACAAAGAGACAGACTGAGAGACAGACTAAGGGACAGACTGACTGAGAGACTGAGAGACAAAGAGACAGACTGAGAGACAGACTGAGAGACAGACTGAGGGACAGACTGACTGAGAGACTGAGAGACAAAGAGACAGACTGAGAGACAGACTGAGGGACAGACTGACTGAGAGACTGAGAGACAGACTGAGGGACAGACTGACTGAGGGACAGACAGACAGACAGGTGGACGTCTGTCTCTCTGATTAACCTGAAGCTTTCACGCTGTCAGAGTCTCGATGTGAAAACATCCAGCAGGTCATCAACTGAATCTAAACTCTGTTTTATGATCGTTAATTATCTCTAATCATTCGTTAATTATCTCTAATTATCAATTCTGACTTTTAAGCAACATTTAATTTGTTTATAGCCCAAAATCACAAATTTGCCTCAGAGGTCTTTAACGCAGAAAAATATATATTAAAGTCTGAGTTTAATATTTTCATGTTTTAATGTTTAAATGTTTGAATGTTTTAATATTTAAATGTTTTAATGTTTTAATCTGCTTCATAATTAATTTCACTTCTTTTAAAGGCGTGTCTCCAAAATAAAACATGAAATATTAGATTGTAGATTTTCAGTGTTGCTGTAAAATAACTAAAACAGATTAAATATGTCAAAATAAAAAGAGTTAAATAAAGAATAGAGACTTTAATTTAAGGACCGTGTACTGAAAACACACATTAATAACACATTAATAACACATTAATAATAACCTAAAAGAAAACACGAGAAGACGTGTTTTTATCCGCTTTTGTTTCCCTTTTATGGTGACTTTCAAAATAAAGCTCCAAAGTCTGATTAATAACAGATCTAGTCACAGAATGAAACTGTTTCCAGTGGCAGATTATTTCATGTTTAAAACGTGATGAGAGCTGAGCACCATCACTAAACACCTCGTTCTATTTTTGCGTTCGACTGAAAGGAGTTGCTGGTCAACATCTGTTTGTTTGTTTGTTTGTTTGTTTGTTTGTTTGTTTGTTTGTGTGACTTTTTTAAACACTAAAGTCACACAACAACACAACTCCACTTCAAATAAAGCTTCTAGTGTCTCAGATCCAAACCAGACCCAGAACCACCAGAACATCAAACCTTCCGGCGGTTCTTCAGTCTGTTCTTTAAACCAGAACTTCTTTAAAAAGATGCAGAATTTACTTGAATGTAGTAATATTTCCAGCATTAAACCTTAAATCGATGTTTCTGTGACGTGTAACTGTGCCGTCTGTCGTTGTGGTTGCAGTTCCACCTCCGACCTCTAGATGGACACATTTCCATGTAATATAATAATAATGCAGCATATTAATCACGAAAGTGACCGACAGCTTTATGTTCTATATTACTACAGATTCATAAATACATAAAGTTCTGACTGTGAGATTTAAATCAGTTGAACATCATAAATCTCTGATGTTGAAGTATTCAGATCCTTTACTGCAGTAAAAGTGCTAATAACACACCGTGCACAGTAAAAGTATTGATTGATCAGTAAAGTGCTTCACTGTTATATCTGATCCAGTCAAAATGTTTTTGTTCATTTTAAATGTTCAACATCTGGATCTTTACTGAACAGTCAGAGGTTTTATTTCAGCTACTTTAACAAACATCGTGAGGTTAAACAGTGAAATACTGTTAAACAAGTTATTTAAACCTCTTTATGCTCCACATCCTGCTCACTCTGACATATTAACATATAATCTCCCATATTATGGAATTATGTTCCATCAGCGACTGTTTGCTCAGAGTCACAGCGTTAAATTTAAAGAAAGAGGTTTTATTTTTTAAATTGCAGTAACTTTCTATTTCCTGAGACAGGAAACTGACTGAGCTTTACCTCGGCTCAGGTTTAACTAGTCTCAGGTTTAACTATCTGAAGTTTCACTGAAACTAAAAGCTCTCTGAAACAATTTAAGATGAGAGGATGAGTCAGAGAAAAGCAAAGTGTTGCTGCAGCTTTAAGGCTCTTTGTTGGTTTATAACATTATTAATCAAAAGGTATCACGTCTCTAAACACAACATGATGACAGGGTTGTGTTGTTATTCATATGGATTGTTTGTCAGATTGATGAATCAGCTGTTTTATTGATGTTCTTCTTCAATAATAACTCTAACAGATAATGAACTGTTCCATTCAGACACCAGAGGTTTTATGTGAAATAGTTTTTATTTTGATTATTGATCATGAACACTCATGAAGAGGTTTAAACTGTGATCAGATCAGCTGATGTTCCAACAGTAACTCTACACGAACCTTCTGGTTCCACTGTGAAGTCTGATGATGAAGTTAACTCCAGCTTGTTCTACGATGCTTTTATTGTGAAACTCTTTGACACTGAAGCAGGAAGTTGTTCCTGTTTATTTTCTTTCTTCTCTTCTTCTTCTGTTGTTCAGAAGATCTTTGTCTCTTTGATCAGAGTTCAGTTAGAACATCTACTAAACTCAATACCATGCGTTAATAAAGACTCTTTACATTATTAATATAAAAGTATATTAATGCAGGAAACGTTCACCTGAACACACACCTGTCTGTGTGGTCATCAGGTTGTTTAGCGACAGCACAAAGTTCAAATACTGTGAATAACTGATGATTTAGTAGATCATATGTATCACTGTGTGTGTGTGTGTGTGTGTGTGTGTGTGTGTGTGTGAGAATCTCAGGTGCGTCGTCTTCATTTTGTGGTGCTATATTAAAAGCAATAATTAAAAAACTAGAAACACGTCAGACCTCAA